GACACTCTTGTAGGAAACTCTTGTGGGACACTCTTGTAGGACACTCTTGTGGGACACTCTTCTGGGACACTCTTGTAGGACACTCTTGTAGGACACTCTTGTGGGACACTCTTATAGGACACTCTTGTGGAACACTCTTGTGGGACACTCTTGTAGGAAACTCTTGCGGGGCACTGTTTCGGGACACTCTTGTAGGACACTCTTGCGGGACACTCTTCTGGGACACTCTTGTGGGACACTCTTGTGGGACACTCTTGTGAGACACTCTTGTGGGACACTCTTATAGGACACTCTTGTAGGAAACTCTTGTGGGACACTCTTGTAGGACACTCTTGTAGGAAACTCTTGGGGGGGACTGTTTTGGGACACTCTTGTAGGACACTCTTGCGGGACACTCTTGTAGGACACTCTTGTGGGACACTCTTGTAGGACACTCTTGCGGGCCACTCTTACGGGGCACTCTTGTGGGACACTCTTGTGGGACACTCTTGTGGGGCACTCTTGTGTGTCACTCTTATGGGACACTCTCTTGCGAGACACTCTTGTAGGACACTCTTGTGGGTCACTCTTACACGACACTCTTGTAGGACACTCTTTGTGGGACACTCTCAAAAGCACTCTGTGGGTCACTCTTATGGGACACTCTTGTCGGACATTCTTGTGGGACAGTCTTGTGACACACTCTTGTAGGACACTCTTGTGGGTCACTCTTACAGGACACTCTTGTGGGACACTCTTGTAGGACACTCTTGTGTGACACTCTTGTGGGACACTCTTGTGGGACACTCTTGTGTGACACTCTTGTAGGAAACTCTTGTGGGACACTCTTGTAGGACACTCTTGTGGGACACTCTTGTGTGACACTCTTGTAGGAAACTCTTGTGGGACACTCTTGTAGGACACTCTTGTGGGGCACTCTTATAGGTGGGACACTCTTAAGGGACACTCTTGTGAGACACTCTTGTGGGACACGGTTGCGGGACACTCTTGTGGAACACTCTTGTGGGACACTCTTGTGGGACACTCGTGTCGCGACACGGTCTGCCCACACACTAGAAGCAGTCACGCGAGCGTTTCGTACGAGACTTCCTCCAAAAGTCACGCTTCGAGGCTGCAAGACGAGCGTTTCGTACGAGACTTCCTCCTAAAGTCACGCGTCAAGTCTCCAAAACGGAGCGTTTCGTACGAGACCTCTTCCAAAAGTCACACGTCAAGTCTCCAAAACGAGCGTTTCGACCGAGACTTCCTCCAAAAGTCACGTGTCGACTCTCCAAAACGAGCGTTTCGTACGAGACTTCCTCAAATACTCACGTGTCAAAGTCTCCAAAACGAGCGTTTCGTACGAGACTTCCTCCAAAAGTCAAGCGGAAACACCCATCGGAGCACACACATCACGCAGCCCTGCCAAGCAGTTTCGCGATTCCAGCCCCTCCAAACAACACCCGCTCACACGCCAATCCCAATGAGACAACGACAGTCACCTCTACCACAACTCACAACCTCACGATTCCCTGCGCCTGCCACGCATCTTTCCGCATCCACATGTCTAACGCGCACAAAGTACTGCGCCTGCCACGAAATGTCAACTCCGTCACACCTCGCAACCTCACGATTTCCTGCGCCTGCCACGAAAATCGCACTTCCACACCTCAAAATCAGCACAAAGTACTGTGCCTGCCACGAAAAGTGAGAATATCATCTCACATGAGCTTCAACAAAATTTGCACCACACCACACGTTTAGAATGATGTCGACCCGCTCCCATCCACCAAAATCGCCATTTCAGCTGAGACTTGTCACGAAAACAGAGCTTCGATGCTACACCCTGAAATGCAAATCCCAATGGCACGGCCACATCCAACACCCCAAAAACACGACTCTCCAAACGCTAATCCCAATGGAACTGCGCAGTAAACTGCGGATCTCTCAAACCACTGCGCCTGTGCAGCGAAATGCATCACGCTTCTTGCGCGACATGTCATTTTCATGCAAATCACAATGGAATAGCGTCGCAAACTGACACGTGACACATCCATGAAAAGTCACTTGCAAAAGCTTCCCCCAATGGCAGCGCCTTAGCGTCCTACTGCGAACGGTTGCGAACGGTTGCGGACGGTTGCGGACGGTTGCGGACGGTTGCGGACGGTTGCGAACGGTTGCGGACGGTTGCGAACTTAGAAACAACGGATCGCGAACAAGACTCTACCCCCAGACCCCCAAGAATTAAACGAGAACCCTTCGCTACGCATTCGGGAAACAAAAAAACAATGTGTGGGGGACTACTTAGATCTAGCTATGTTCAGACTAGTCTGGAAAACATTGTTTTTTTGTTTTTTTGTTTTTTGGTTATAACACACCATGAATTATAGGGAAAGAATGATGACTGAAGAACCCAGAACCATTGTAGTAGGCAAAAACGAATTGTTGACAGCGCGAAACAACCAAGCATACTGATAGATAACGGCATGAATACGATGGCAGGATGGGTCGAACAAAAGAGGCACTGTAAAGGTTCAATTGTGACGGCATGCTCATAGCTCCACAAATGATTCGTTGCCTTCCTAGTAGCAAAGTAGCTTCCAGCGGCTTTCAGGGGTCTGTGACTGCTGCTTCAATTCGCCCCTACTTCCGATCGCAGCCCTCATGAGACATTCAAACCAACCAAACCCGAAACAACCCATGGACGTTTAAACCCAGGACACTCATGGGGTTCTGAATCCGATGCCTCGGCTTTCAGAAATCGCCTTTCTATCATCCCAGCAAATTCTTTGGCCGCATATTCTGCGAGCTTAGACTTCTAGCCATGCCTAAACCACTTCAAACCTTTTGAATTTAGATTTGACCTCTCCGGAGTAGAGCACGTACGATTCACAACAACAGATGTGTAAGGGAATGAAAGATCAGATTTCTCTTGTCAGATACGTTTTAAGCGCTGAAACGGCGACAGTATCAGGCACTGGCACTCCGATAACCTTTGTGAAGCTTTCATCTACGGGGTCGCAGCGGATGTTTCACACTTTGAACCTTGGCTTGCGCAGGCAACTCTTTTGCATGCCGCGATCATATTTGTGCATTAGGACCGTTACATATATATATATATATATCTTGTTTTAATATCTATAAGGTTATACATCGTCTCAACACTTAGCGCCCCGTGCATGCCAGTATGCTACCATCGTGGTGCATCAACGAATGCAGCGCCCCAACGCACACATGCAAGTAGATTGGCGTGTAGTGCCCATACGGCATTAATCCCTTTCGTTTGGGCTTTGGTTCTCGAACTCCAGATCCTGGCAGTCTTTAGACGCAATGGGCTGGACAGACAGATTGGGAAGAGCCTGATACGGACTTGTGAGCCACAAGCATTTGTCAATGGACGTGTGACAAGAAGAGAGCCAGGAGCAATAGCTATGACGACACAAGTGACAACAAAGTGGTGCCCCCGCCCTTTGACAGGAAGCAATCGTGGTTTTCCTATGAAGAAGCAGCAGCAACAAGAGAGTGCTACATAAAGACTAGAGATGTGCTGAAATCCAATGATCCTCCAGGTGCAGGTGTGCAGTACTTCAGAAGTGTCCTCAGACCATGGATGGCAAGATGTCACATTCAATGGCTTATGAGCAGCTGGATGGATATTCTAGATGCCGTACACACTTGCATCCCCAAGTGCAGCAACACATTCAGGCAGACAATGATGAACGGAGCAGCTCCAGGTCCTGAAAGGGCCACGAAAGTAGCACTGTTAATGGTCAGGTTTGCCGACCTTCCCCAAGAAAACAAAACACTTTGGTTTCTTTGCACTAGTATGCACTCGATGAACTCTGGGCAGTATCCATGAGGATATTCTGCCCCACCAACACTTCAGTTGACAGGCCCGTGGTGCAGACAAGAGGTGCTGGTCGAAGACGCTTGTTCCTTGTTTCGGATGAAAGCGAAATGGACGGCGCATGTGGCTAGCTTCTGGGCAGAAGATGGTGCCGAAGGGTTTTTGGATGCTATGGGCAGAAGGGCCAGAAAAGGCAAAAGGAAATGAAAGATAAAATATAAAAGCAGATGAGAGGGAGACTCTTTCAGAAGCAAGACTAAGAGGAGGACAAGGAAACTGTGCTGATGGGGGTGATTTGGCATCATGACCCTGAATGGGACAGAATTGGGACAGAGAATATGACGCAGTCTTTGCAGGTGACATGGAAGATGACCTGGGTGCCTGTGTGAGGAACTCATACATGCTCAAGGAGGCTTTTCTACTCAAACCGCCTTGGACATGAAGTATTGTCGCTCATCCGTCCACTGATGCCTTTGATGTCGTTTTGCCTTATTTTTGACAATTCTGGATGGCATGCGCGGGATTGCTAGAAAGGTTTTCCAAAGATGTAGCCTGGCGCTTTGTTACAGTGCACTCGGCGAGCGCAACCTATCTGCAAAGGGGGTCCGGCATGATTATTGTGCGATGAATGGGGGCTACATGGGCCTGGTCCTGATATTTATACCTGTCCACCAGAAGCAATCGACGGAGGCAGCCGTCAAGTCGCCACGGGATTGAAGAGCGCTGATGAAATCAAACAAGTTTGTTTCGAATGGAGTGCGCCTTCCTTTTCAAAAGCGGACAGTCGCCAGACAGATGCCCAAGAACCTCAAGGGTGACTTTAAGAGGATGAGCATACCTTTTGTGAGCTACCCGAGGACAAACTTTAGAGGAGGTGCCGTTCCAACGGTGCATACCTTTTCTGAGCCACCCGAGGGTAAAATTGAGAGAAGGAAGATGCCATTCCAACGGTTTACTTTCGTGAGCATCCGACAGTAAATTTGGAGGAGGAAGGTGCCAGTGCAACGGTGCATACCTTTGGTGAGCCACCCGGTGGCAAAATTTAGTGGAGGAACTGCGCGTACCTTTTGTGAGGCAAGTTAGAGGAGGAAGGTGCCATTCCAACGCAGCAACATGCCTGTGTGAACAATGAGTCGCTGCGTGCACAAGTGAGTCGTGCGCAAGTGAGTTGGTTTTACGTGCGCAACTGGGGCATCGCCCCTTCATACAGGTGTGTTCGACTGTCGACCTTGTGCGCGCTTTTGCGTGCGCAAGTGAAACCTGTCCCCACGACAGGAGCAACCGCCATAGCGCGGGCACACGTGCGGTTGTTTCCCGGTAGTGGCATTATGCCCACCGTGTAGCCCTTGGATTGTCCTTTGATTGCGTTTTTGTTTAGTTCAGCTTGCGCCAATGCCGCCAAGGCTGATTTTGTGGGACATGGGCGACAATGAACTCGAACCCGATGACGACGAGCGCATGAAGGTGATGGGAGGGATGCGTTCAACGCAAGATTGGTGGATTCCTCAAAGCGCCTACAATGCGACCACCACCATGAGCCTGAACTACAATGCCTGGCAGAAAAGGTGGGATTGGGACTGGTCTACGAGTGAATTCAGCTATCCCAGTGCAAACGGTGTGTGGGGACAAGCAGCGGCCCGGCAGCAGCTAAACCGAACGAACAGTTTTGTTTTGAGACCTTCAAAGTTGAAAGTCGCATGTTCATGCGTTTTCAATTAAATCCATATTTGTACAACCAATCTGAAACCAAACATGAAGTGCTTCGAGGTGTAACCGCAGAGATCGTTGTAGTCAGTTTCCTGTTGCCGTCGCCCCATGTTCATGAAAGGTTGCCAAGGTCTACCAGGCCTCCAAACTTTGACATCATCATCGTCAACATCCTCACCCTCCTGATTACCATGATTTTCCTCATCATCATCATCGTCGTCGTCATGTGCATCACGCCATTTTCGTGCCCATGATCACGAAAATCACGAGACCCCCGAGAACCACCCGAAACCTGGAGAGCCCCATGCACCACAAGAACCCCATGAACCCCCGCCAAGTACAAGAACCTCACAAACCATGAAAACCAAGTGAGCCACGAGAAATACGAGAACCATGCGAACCACGATGCCCACTGCCCACGCGAACCACGACAGCCCACAAACCATGGGGGGACCGCGACGCCGGAGACCACGGAAAGCACGGCCACGCCGATGGGACCAAGCGCTGACCACGTTGAGCACGCAACTGTGGGTTTCCATCCCTAAACCCATCTAAACCCTATACCTCGTTGAGGGACAGGGTTCAACCATTCGCTTTTTCATTGGAAACTTGTTTCTCACATGTTCAAAACAACCGCCCAGAATGAGACCGGCCTTGTGACAAATGGTGGCGCCTGGGGTTTCCCTGCCAGGGCTTGGACTACTCCTGGCAGTCGGGTGGCGTCTTCGGATTCGGGAGGGCAATATTGGTGCTTGGAGGTTGCCATGGAACCACTTGTGCCCTCACCAACGACCTCTATGTGTACAAAAACGCAGGTCAAACCGCTCCAGCCCTTTTGTCACTGCTTGGTGTCATGTTCTTGATGTACGCAGACCGGGCTTGCTTCTGATGTTGCCTTGAGGGCCATTTCTCGCACATGACGAGAAAGAATTGCAGGCAGAAAAATAGCGCTTTTCCAGCATGGCTGGTGGAGCTTTCTTGCTTCTTCGCTGATGTTTCACCCCAAATGTTTGGATGTTTGTTTCGTGGTCCGGAAGTGTTGCAGGAGATTTGGTCAACCAGCTGGGTTCATTGCCTAGACGATTGGCATCGCCAGAGGGCAGTAGGGCACGACGCCTGCCACCATCGACCCTGGCCGACTGCGGAAGCGGCGGGCTTGCCCCTGAGCCGCTGAGAAGTGGCTGGGCAGCATGTCTAAGCATGTTCTTAGGGTCGTTCTCTTTGGATTTATGTCGCCTCATGAGGCACGGTATACAACATGGCAAAGATGATTTGGATTGCAGCCCGGAGGTCCGCGTGACCCCAACGCTGCTGCTTTTCATGCTTGGCTCCAGCAGCTTTGGCAGCGAAGTGGTGGAGGTCGTGGCGGAAACTTGGCGAGAAACCTTGTGATGCGAATTGGTGGGCAGCTGTGAAGAAGGTACCGTCAATGGACCCGGTTGAACCAATCATCTAACTTATGAAGATTTGCATAGCGTTTGATCAGGACGTCACTTGCAGCCTGCAGACAAGATGTTTGGGGTGCGGCGCATGAGAAACAGTGTGAGTGATGCCCAGATACACCCAAGTGTGTCACTGCGTCTTTATAACTATACATGTGTTTTTGGATTTGATATATATATATATATATACACATGCAGTAACGCATATATAATGTTAGAGCTAGTTTGGTCGCTATGTTTGTGACAGTCTTAATCTACCGAGTCTCCGGCCGGCAGTTGTGGCTCAAGAGCAAATAGAGCAACAAGTGAACAGGGCCCGCAAGTTTGAAAGCCATGGAAGCTTGGTTGGAAGAGACACGCCGCACGTAACCCCCATATGCCCCGACTGAGAAAAATGGTGTATTCGCCCTAAAGCGGAACATATTGGAACTGCTTTGGCAAGATTGGGCTTGGTCGAACTTTGAGTAAGGATGAAGAAGGTTCAATTACACACCCTCAGTCCGATGCCCCAACACCCATCTCCCATGAAGTAGAGGCTACCACCAAGCGGCTTGAGACATGGAGACATGGTGGAGAAACACATTCACTCGGGGAGCAAACATGAGCAAACCATCCTCCTAAGTTGCTATACTGTTTGGAAACTCTTAGAAGGTCAAGCCAATCAACCATTTTTTTTGCGCAGCTGATCAGGATTGGTTCACGCGCAGGTGTGCCAAGCACCCAAGTAGGAATCCGAATGCACTGACAATCCACCCAGACAGAGTTGTTCTGCCCGTTTCCGAAAACCAAGGAGGAGCACACCACTGCCACGCGCCCGACTGCGAGTCTCAGCTCCGTCCCCTCCACCGGAGTCGTGGTGCGGCAGCGCAGCCAACGGAGCGAACGAGTGACGTCGCTCGATCCGGACGAGATCTTTGGGACGAAGTCCGTCAAAGGCCGTAGCAGCTCAGAGTGATGCAGCGGAAAAGGTCGGTTTTTCCTCACTTGTGTTTAGATTTGGAAGATAGTCTTCTCCTTCCTTCCCTTGGTCCTTCCTGCCACGGACCTCAACCGCAAGCGACAGATCGCAATGGGCACCTGAACACAATCACAAGCACACAACCGTAAGCGCACAACTACAAAAACACACCACAAACACACAATCACAAACACAAACAGACAAACAGGCACACAACCACAACACACGGCCACATCACAAAACCGCACACACATGACCACAAACACACAAACACGAACACACAACCACACAAACACAACCACAGCATTGTGCCTTTTTGCGTGGCAGGTGGTCACAGGGTAGCACTTTTGGATGCCAAGTGGGGGCCGTGGCGACACCCCCCGACGCGAACTCCCTAGCACTAAATTAACAACCCCGAGCCCGAGGACCCACAAGAAAAATCGAAAGCCACAAGGCTTACCACCACGGCACCATCCTCCTCACCATGGCATGAAAACAAATGATTGAAATGTCATGGCAGGGGTCACTTGAAGCAAAGTAAGTGTGGATGTGGTTTGATTTTGTTTGTATCATGTATCAAGGTGCTGTTCGGTCAACATGGCGAAAGCACACCCTAGGATGGAAAAAACGAGGGAACGGTGGGCCTCCTGAGAGTGATAATGGAGGTCAGAACAGTTAAAGTTTAAAGAACGGAGCACACGGCGAAAGCCAACAGCAGAGAATAAGCCTAAGCAGCAAGAACATTAGGTTCAGCACTTGGGGAACAAACACGGCAGCGGGAAATACTGCAAACCAGAAGGTGCCTGAGAGAAATGCAAAAAATGAAACTGAAACTGACTATGGGTGACTTGTACTGATACTATATTACTATATATTACTTTTTTGTGTGTGCGTTAGCACTGTTAGTGCTTTAATTTGGGTCAGTTGAGAACCCCGGTTTGTGCACCCTTTGTTGGTGGAAGTATGGCTGCTGTTTTTTTTTGGCCATGGCATTGCGGAAACTTGTGGCTTAGGAACCACGGCCAAAGTAGAAGTGGACAGGCTGACGCTAGCTTACATATTTGGGACAATATCTCGCATGTAATTCGTGTGTGTGTGTGTTTGCAGCCCAGTTGGTTGATTCGACCAGTTATTTTTTGCAGTGAAAAAGCGCTGCACTCAACACCTGGTCACGTTGAAACGAAATGTGGTTGGATTGATTAGATTCGGTGTTTCCATGTTTTTCCATACTTGCCGGCATAGAAACCGATGTAGATGTGTCTGCATCATGTTTTGACGCTCCATTTTGTCCAAGATGTTTTGCGTTGTGGCCAAGGCAAACGTGTGATTTCCTTTGATGTGGAGACGCTGGGACCCGACTTTCGTGTTGCGCTGGAACGCTCTCACCGTTTTGCCTCCTGAAGATGTGGCGACCATGCCGACCTGCTCTCTAACGGCACGATATCAGGAGCCGATTCAAAGACCCACTTGGGAACATCAAGATGTCGTAGATTCTTAGATGTCGCAACAGAGCATGTTGTGGCGTGTTCTTGTTGCAGGTCATTTTTGATTGGGGGATGTTCACAGTTTGAGACTTGAGACCTTGACAGGGAATATTTAAATTTCCCCAAGTTGGGGAGGCGACTTTGCAGATCTTCTTTTCCATACCTTTATGAGATTGCGAGTGCGAAGTTGCTGGGAGAACCAGCACCGCATGGTCGTTGTGGAAGAAGAGCTAGCAAGGTGGTTGTCTCAGTGATGGCGTGGTTTCGGCGGGATACTTGGAGAGTAAGTTTGCTTAGTCGACGCTACGAGGGAACCTGATCCGTACAAATGTGATGCGCATAACTTCTTGTTTCGAATAGCAAACATTGTTACTACTAGTAAGGCACTTGTTACTAGAAGCGATGCACTTGTTCCTAGTAGCTTCTTGTTACTAGAAGCAAGAATGCTCCTAGTAGTGATGCCAGGAGCCCCTAGTAGCGTCCTTGCTCCCAGTAGTAAGGCCAGGAGCCCCGAACGTAGCTTCCTAGTATGTTGTCCCTTGCGAACCGCATTGTGTTCACAATACTCAGCGCTCCACTCCATCCGTCCCAATGCCGCCATCCGCAGCTTTGGACCATCAAGGGAGGCTTGTTTGTAGCAGCCATATTCCAATTGATTGAGGATTCGGTTCATTTTTCTGTGCCTGAGCGGACAGGAAACAAATCCACCTTTCGTTGTGTGCTGAGAAAACCATTTCTCGGCTGGTCCTTTGCTGTGATTTGAGCGTTGTGCAAGCCCAACATCCTTTCCATTCCATTGTTTCGATTGCTTGTTGGTCTAATTCTAATGTTGACGGCGGTTGATTCCTGAAAGCCAGACACTGGATGGCTCTTCACATCTCCAACTTAAGTCATAAGTATTCATCAACGGTCAACATTGGCCAAGGCCTTCAAGTGGAGATCATTGTACCTTCCCATCACTTCCCTGCTTTTATATAACCCCCGAGCCCATGAATGCGACCGGGGCATTGATTCAGAGAAGTGACCCTCAGGCTGGAGCTGACGCATGAAGAAGCCGCCAGTCATTTCCAAGATTGATTTTGAGATCTTTTGATTGGTCCCCCATGTGACCTTTGATTTGCCATATGAGGAGCCAGCTTTGAGAACTGAAAAAGGACTCGTTCTGAAGCTGTGCGTCCTTGGCACCACAGACAGGGTGACTCAGAAATCTGCCACACTGCCAGAGTCCTTGAAAGGACATGAGAGGTTCGCCACGTGCCTCCTGTTTGAAGGGTAGCAATCTCAAATCTACATGGACATGGGGCGGGCAGCTAGCAAGGTTCCCCCCCTTGGAAAAATCCGACTCCTGCCCCGTTTGATGAGGCATGTGAACCGAACCTCACTTGGCAGTAGCAGTTCCGAACACGCAGAGTTGGCACCAACGAGGCGGCTCAAAAAGACCCCGGTTGCTAGGTGAGAGAGCACATGGCCCACGGCAATCCATCGAGCGCAATCGCTCATCATCGCTCATCGCCACATGTTGCAACACAGAGGTGGGAATCTGTGGGAATGCAAACGCCAGAGCACGAGTCGCACGAGTCTGTTTTCAAATGCATTGCAGCCTGCTGAGCCCTACAATTTGCATGTGTTCAATCTGACGTGGGTTGTCATTCCCGCTCTTGTCTCACTCCCGGTGTCACTGAGGCGAGCTTCGATTATGGGATCGAGCTTCGAGCGAGCTTGGAGCGGGACAGCTGCATCGAGTTGTTTGGGGGGGGACCGGGGAATAGGCAGAACTACCAGTTGTTATGGTGTCATGTTTGGTTGCAGAGATGTTTCTTTGGTTCCCTCATGTTTGCCTGTAAATCGGCCAGGGAACATACTGTAGCTCAAAAAGGAAGCGCGGGAGCATCTTTTTTGGATCAATGCAGCTACAGGTGAATAGAAGCCAACTAGACGCAGATAATGCGTGTATATATACCTAGAACCTGAATGACCTCTCTTTTGGATCACCAACCACCCAAAA